GACACGCTAACAAGGAGGCTAAAACCCATGGGCACTAGCGTTGCTCGCCAGTGCGTCTCTTAAAGCATCAGGGAGTGAGGATTTACACACTGCACAGCCATCTGGCTTTTGTTACACGAGCAGTCAGTCACCAGTCTGAAGGATGGCCGAAGGAGATGAACCCCTGAACATTCTCCCCTGTCGAAAAAGACAAAGTCTGCTGTATGATATGCCATTAAATATGATATCCCATCTACGGGAGCGCCACCCGTCGATCTTTATTTGAATTCAAGTTACCACTATCTTGAAATGAACATTTGCAACAAGCTAAGAGAGTTAGCATGTTTAGCACTGGTGAAATATTGCTGCCAAAGCAGGTAACATGGCTAATTAACTAGCTAACATCAGCTACTTCAAATGTTACTTCACAGAGCAGGGAAAAGCAGAGTACTACGTTTCTCCATGCCTACTGACCGGTGAAGTGACTAAAACTGATTATCTTGTTATAATGGCACCCTTCAGTGCGTGGGATTTATTAGGCAGCCACCTCAAACTTGATGTGTTAGAAGCAGGAAAAATGTGCAAGCGTAAGGATTTGAGCGACTTTGACAAGGGCCAAACTGTGATGGCCAGACGACTGAGCAATGCAGCAACGGAAGAATGTGGCCGGCCTGTTGATGGCTGGGTACGTGTGTGTCGATTACCTGGGGAACACATGGTACCAGGATGCACTATGGGAAACAGGCGGGCCAGCAGAGGCAGTATGATGCTTTGAGCAATGTACTGCTGGGAAACCTTGGGTCCTGCCATTCATGTGGATGTTACTTTGACATGTACCACTTACCCAAGTATTATTACAGACCATGTACAACTTTTCATGGACACCGTATTCCCTGATGGCAGTGGCCTCTTTCAGCAGGATAATGCACAAAAAAGCAAACATGGTTGAGAAACAAAACAATGAGTTCAAGGTGTTGACTTGGCCTCCAAATTCCCCAGCTCTCATTCCAATAAAGCATGTGTGGGATGTGATGAACTAACAAGTTTGATCCATGGAGGCCCTACCTCGCAACTTGAAGGACTCAAAGGATATGCTGCTAACTTTTTGGTGCCGGATACCACTTTACACTTTTAGAGGTCAAGTGGAGTCCATGGCTGGACGGCTCAGGCTGTTTTGGTGGCAAAAAGGGGACCTACACAATGTTATGCGGGTGGACATGGACAATGCTATAGCTGATCAGTGTAAAAAAACTGAACTAATCCTCTCACTCAGTCTCATAGGTAGGGAGGGGTAGTTTGAATGAGACTACAAATTAGGCCTAAAAAGGCTTTGCAATTGCACCACAATCTAGCACCTACAATATTAAAAACACAGAGCTACAGGAGGAGTACATTTTTGTACGAACACCGCCTGGCTCTGCCATGCCTTCACACAAAGCAATCCCAATCCCGGCTGTTCTCATCTGTGACACCACGATGGTGGAACGAGCTACCACACGCCATCAAAGCAGGGGTGTCACTGGGTGTCACTCTCTAACTTCAAGAAGCTCTTGAAAACTCATCTCTTCTGAGAACACTTTCTATTATTTCTATTAACACCTCTAACCTCTAACCCCCTAACCTCTAACATGCACTTCCTGTGCTCTTCTTCTTCTATCCCCTTACAATTATCCTGTATTGATTGCACTTTGTTAACTCTTACTTCCTTCCCTAGGTATTTACCCCATTGATGTGATATGTGCTATTAGCTCTTACTAGTATTTATTGCTGCTCTTACTAGTATGTATTGTCAGATGTAGATCTCGTGCTGTATTGAAGCTTTGTTGATGCTTGTATGTTGTTCCTCAAATGTAAGTTGCTTTGGATTAAAGCGTCTGCCAAATGAGTAAATGCAAATGTACTATAACAGGCACATCTTGTAATGGGTTCTCCAGAGCACAGTGGTGATTTGGTACAACATTACAAAGTAGTTTACTGCTAGTTAGGGTACAACTAGTACAACAAGGGTAAAGGCATGATGCTTTGATTGGAGAGCCACAGTGCAATAAGCTGCAGTGTCAGTGAAACGTACAGTATAAGTAAGTACTTTCAGTTCAACTCAAACATTTAGTTTTAAATATGTGTTTGTTCATTCTCGCTGAATGGCTGTACCACGTGGTGCAAAAAAGAAAACACTTCACCAGAAAACAGAGAATCTATTAAGTTTTAAAGGGTTAAACTACTACCGTAATGTATTACTTTAATTGTTCCCTTGATTCTTTATTGTTTCATTAAGCGGTGATCATGTTACCAGTGATCTTGATCTGCTAACCTGAAATCAATTCCTTCTGTCTGTCTTAGTGAGGAAGCATCACTCAGTCACTTGTGATTATTTCACCCCATTTTACAGGTACATTAATTTTCACCTTTAAAGTGGCTGTAATGATTTGCTAACATACTTAAAATGGCATTAGAGGGAATGTGTTAACAGTTAAGGTTCAGGGTTCAGCTTTATAATCATTATACAATACAGGATTGCACAGTGAAAGGCAGTTGTATCCCCTCCACACTACACACACAGAAAACGTATAAACAAATATTAAATTCATTTAAGTTTTGTCAAAGAAAGTCGTGTGTGTGTGCAGAGTACAGAGAATTTCAGCAAGTGCAGCAGCCATATTAAGTTGACTGTGTACATGTGTACATGTATTTTCATATACTGTACATGTACAACTCGTTATTTATGTATAATGTTATATGTAAGATTTGTGAAAGTGGACAGAACCGTACTTGTTAGAAATATTTGTGGGTACGTATTCTCCAGAGAAAGGTTGTTTACACATGTTTATTTCTAAACTGTTTATTTATGCATTTGCTAAAGATTTATGTTATGAGCGAGGAGACACCACCCTGCAACTCTCATGATTATTTCTGCCCGTTTTTCCCTGGTGTAACAAAGGCCCCCCAGGCTCTAGTAACTCATAGCGCAGCCATAACGCCACAATCCCTCACTGGCTTCCCTCCTGCGAACAAGGAAAACTGTGTTCAAGGGAATGTGACAAAAGCGAAAGCATGAAACTCGGCTCTCCATTCAAGGAAATGTGATCTGTACAGTTTCCAAGGCAGATCTTTCTATTGATAGACACCAACAGTGTGCCAATACTGTTTTTAAACTTGAGCAAACCACTCTCTTTTCCATCCTATTATTAAAATAAGAAACAGAAGCAACTATTACTGGTGGTATAATACCCGCTGTGTGCTGGAAAGAATGCTACTGTATGTGTAATTATGATGTAATGGTACTCACTTGTCCTTTAAATGATCAAAAACCTTATTATCTATTTTGAACATTTGTAGATGAAGTTGTACACATCATGGCGTCATGTGGGCCTATCATGTGCCTGTTATGGTGCAAGTAGAATAAATGATTCCTCCTGTGGCTCTGTCTTTGAGTGTGAAACCACTTGTCTCAGCTGGACGGGACCTTTTTGAAACTGTTGCAAAAAAGTGAAACTCCCAGAACTTTCAGTATTAGAGAGCAGTAGCCGGGCTCTAATCTCTCTCCTCTCCACTCGGAGGGATAATTGTTTGTTGTGGATCAAACTGTGTATGTGTGTGTGTGTGTGTGTGTGCATTTAGAACAGTCTAATACAAGAGGAAGTGGGTCACAGCTCCTCAGGGGAACCACTCTGGTAGCTTGAACTTCCTCTTAGCCATACATGTTTAATGATGGATTGTAGCATGTTTAAAGGCAGCGGCCCAGCCACATAGAAAAACCAAACATACATGTAAACACTTACTAACACAAGCACACACACACACACACACATATAAACACAGGATGAGAGAAATACATTCACAAACATGCCTACTACATAATGTAGCCTACACTGTAAATTGTATATGAAGGGGAAATATAATCCAATAGCCTACATGTTCTGATATGTATATGCACACCATCCTCCAACACACACACACACACTAATACCGAACACTATACAGTAGTGTGATGACTAGTTTTGTGGAATCCTCCCTAAAGATAATAACACTTATTTTATGGTATTGTAGGGACCACTCCTGAGTGGTATCCCTGTAGGATTCCTACATTTTTTTTCCTGGGAATGTGAAATATTTATACTGTGCAAAGATGTACTGTAATTTTTAGAATACAGATTTTTTTTGTTTGTTTCAAAGTGTGCACGAATGTTTTTTCAACTGGTTTCTTTTGAGCAAACTCCTCCCGTCTTTTCACAATAGTGTTTGTAATGTCAGCACTGAAGCGATTTAAGCCAAATACATCAGGCTGGGAGTCTAAACTAACTGGATTCGATCCCCCTATTCTTTGTTTTGTTAGACCCATGTCTGCAAAGTGCTTTGAGCGACGGGAAATATCGGGTGGGGCTTTTTCTCTCTCCAGCCCGCCAAAGTAAAAGAGAAACCAAACCAACACTCACATACTTAAGCCTGTTCGCGGAGGATGACGGATGCTCTGTGGTGGATTTGCACACAACCACAGACCTACTGAATAGGTCTAAAATGCTTGGTACATTCTGCTGGTGCTAATGGATGCAAGCAACAAGTTCACAGATCACGCTCTTCTCGTATTTTGCGAACTGGGAACATAGATGAACACGGTGTGGTGTGTGTTTTAAGCTACCTTTTATTTGCTTCTTTTCAGAATGACCACTAAGAAAATTATCTTGATGTGCATAGGCCTACACAACTGTAGCAAGGCGGTGGGTCGCGTATAATGACAGAATAAGCAGTAGGCCTTTAACACAAGTAGCCTGCTTGAATTTGGCCTATTAATTTCACATTTATTCATATTTCTCTTTAACTCCAGCTTGGTAAGTTTAAGAGAAGCTGTATTTGAAAGGAAGCATGACTCTTTGAGATTACAGTCTGCTGAATGCTTCTAATAGATATCTAGTTTAATCAGCTGATCAAATATCAGTTTAACCACATAAAGCCGCATATTTCAAATGTTTTTATAAAACTCCAGTCTACTTTAAACTCTCAGAGAAAAGATTTTGAAGTCTGACCTGAGTCCGTGTAACGCGGTCTGGCCAAGTCCCTGAAGTAGTAAATGAAATCCAGGCAGTTGTCGTCCTGCACCTCTCCCTTGGAGCACAGGTCGGAGAGCAATTCCAGCGCCTTTCGACAAATCTCATCCTCTGTTTCTGCAGGCATTGCCCTCCAGCATCCTCCTGACTGGTCGGCCACTCCGGCTGATCCTCCACCAGCTCTCTCTTTCTCTCTCACACACACACACACGCACACACACACACACACACACACACACACTCTCAGCCTCTACCAGCGCAAAGACGCACGAAGCACCACGGCTACACCCCTGGATAGGTCCTGTGCGCTCGACGCATCCGCGAAATCCGATTTTACTGGAGTTTCGGTGAATTTTCAGTAAGAGCTGAAGGTTTAATCTGAGAGAGGAGAAGTTTTAATCGGCAAAAAAAATCCACCGTTGCATGGTTTTGTTGTTCAGCAATGAAATAACGGCTCCAATCCAGCGCGCAGCTCACGCTCTTCTTCTCCTCTTCGTTTTTCCTTTCCTTCTTCCCTTCCTATCTGTCTGTCTTTATTTATTCCTCCTCTATCTCTTGTCCGCTGGTGCTGAATCACTACCTCCAGGCTTCAGCCGTGCCAGTCAAGGTCCTTAAATGAATGCTCCGCTTTCACTGCGCTCAATTATTTCTCAGTGCGCTGGGATGCGGAGAGACAGAGAGGAAGCTCTGCCTCCATCAACCTCCACTCCCCTCCACCCCCCCACCCCTCACCTCCATCTCCACCATCACCCTGCTAGCAGCCTTCCCACCTCACAGAGAAGTCTTCTGAGGAAAAACCAGGAGAGACTAATGTCTCACCTCCAGCACTGCAAATGTCATAACACCCCCCTCTGTTCCTCATTTTCTCTTTTGTCTAATGAGTAAAAGTCAGATCTGATTCCTCTCACCAGGCAAACACATGAGTAATGAAGTAATATCCCCTTGTGCTCCTGGGTAGCAGATGTTTAAACGGGGTAAGGGGCCCAAACACCTGAGAGGGCCCACATGCACGAGTCTGACCTTTACTGATGGAAGTAATGAAGGGCGAGAGCGACAGATAAATGTCACATTAAAGCCCCGGTGAAGCTAATAAGGCCTCTCAGTCTCAGTCTCTTTCTATGTGTGTTTGTCAAGTATGAGAGGACCTTTAAGTGTATCAACAAATAGCTCCAAGCAACATAAAAATAACTTGACTGTGAAGCTTTTGTTATATCCGTTGGTAGTGTTTCAGCTGCACATATAAAGCTGATCACTGAACTGATGTCAAATCACTGCAAGAGGATCATCACACCTGCACCCCAGAACCAATGGGGAAGGAGAATTGAGGTGCCTTGCATTTTCAGCTCTAGAAACTTTATAACTTTATAATCAACATTTATATTAATATATTAAACAACTGATCAAATGACTATATTTACAGAAGCCTGAAAGGACGCACAAGTCAACATTGCCAGCAGCGTATATTTGAACATAGCCATATACTTCAACACTTTTACCACAAACTGCGGCTTTTTTGACATACAAATTTATATATTTTAAATTTGCAAACATATGTGTAATTCAGGGTCTGTGTAATTCAAAATGTGTTGTCTCTCGCCATTGACTAACGTATATATTCTTTCAGAAATAAGGTCCCATGGAACCAGAAGGGGGGGTCTTAGTCTCTTTATAAGGTGAAGTCGTAAGCAAACTGTTGCTTATTTACACATCCAGCAGTTACAGAGCAACATTATCATTCATCTGGAGTCGTGTTTATGTCTACCGGGATGTAAGTCCAATATTCACTCTCTTTATAGCTCTGTTTTGGTATTTAACAACTCCTGATGGAAATATCTGGCTCTTAAGCTCCTCTGTGTTCTTAAACTTTGTCTGCTGTTTGGTGCTGGATAGGTGTACAGTGGGTTTTTAGAGCTTTTTCTCTGAAAACAGTTGCCTTCTGTGACCAAAAATGGCACTAAGAAAGCAGTAAGAGTGAACCAAAACAGTAAAGTTTGGAATTTTGGTTCTTTCATCACACTCACTGATCTCGAAAAGTTTACTCATCTCAGCCTCATAAAAGTCAGACAAGGGTTAGAGGTTATCTGCGCTCTACACCAGGTAACCATGACAACCAGATTTTAAAAACAGTTCAGTTCAGCAAATGGATTTTTTGACTGGTAAAAATCTCATAATATTTCAAATGCTTGAGGTGTCAGACGGGGACTGTGACTGTCACCAACTGATCAGTGGCAACGAGCATCAAGCCATCGCCTGACACAGTTTGGATACATTCACCAAGTTCTGAGTTCAATCAAAATGTTCAAATGCTCATCTGAGTCAGTTCTTACATGTGCCTACAGCATTTAAGCTTTATAAGCAGAACTGAGGTGATTTTTTTGCTCTGGATTTTGGCTCTACAACCTGCTCTACCTTCTTGGTGGAGCTCCGTGTCGCTTGTGAGGAAGAATGCAGACCCTACTCTGCTCTGAAAAAAATTCCCCTAAATTCTCTGCATTTTGGGATAAAAACATATTTTTTTGTATACAGTTCTAACAATATTATGTAAGGCATGATTCAGTTTAATCATAATTTATTATTTGCCCAATGATGTAAATTTACAAGAATTTCATTGAGTGTTGTGCCCCCCCCCCACTTGGGGGATTAAGTTGTCTGATAATAATAGCATCAGTGAAATGACTTCAGCATTTACCAGCTCTCTTTAGTAGATCCACAATAGATTAATCACAGCTCACAATGACGCTCGCCTGCTGACTGAGGCCTTTATAATTTCATTTTTTTTACTTGAGATAGTCAATTGACAGATTATGTTAAAACACAGTATATACCATTAGCTAGTGTACAAATGATGTTATTGATGCTGACATTGTCACGACAATCTCAGTGATTCCTGCCTGTGACACCTGTTATGGGAGTGAGTGTGTTTTAGGTTATTTTAGTCTTTTGGGTGGATGGTGCAATTGGTGTGTTTAGGTTTTGTCTGACAGTCTGTGCACACACTCTCTGTCTCAGTCACCGGAAGGCTCACTGTGGTTCCTGGCTTGGTGTAATCCGCACACCTGTCTGCCATCAGCTATCAGTGCACCTGGGCTTCATCTTCTTGTCTCGTAAACACTACAAGAATCCAATGCTAACAACCATTCTCAGCCTGATCGTCATCATCATTAGGTAGTATGTTCATGCGCCACACTTCAGCTCTGCAAAGTAGTCAAGTTGGCCTGTGCAATCTGCTTGTTTGTTTGCCCAACTGAGTACTAACTCTGATTCCCTCTGCTTTCAGGATCACCGGTCAGCAGATCTCCACTCCAGCCAGCCAGGCCTGCTGGCCAGCTCACTACCTTGGGGGCCCTCTACCAAGCCTCCACTTAGAAATCTTCCCCTCACTTCAGCCAGCCTCCATCTCACTTTGTCTGTCTGTTCTTATATTAAAATATTTTATTACTTACCTGCCGGTCTCTAGTCTGTTCTTGGGTTCAGGCAATGAGAGTGCAGCTGCTTTTCAAACTGCTCCCGTAGGACACCATTCAACCTTAGATTTTGTTTGCAAACAAATAGGAGTCATGGGGAGAGTTTTTCAATAATAAGGCCCACAGCATGGAGACATATTACTCTACTGCCAGCATACACACTGATATTGCTAGTGGGATAAGATTTGGCCAGGCATAATGTGGAATAAAACTGCTCTTCCACTGAACTGATCACTCAAGATGTTCTCTGCTCATGAGCCAGATGATGTAATCCTGTCAGCTTTAGTGGTCAGCAGGTCCAAAATATCAGTACATCATCAAAAAGCAAGTGCTGTGCATGATGATGTGGAGTTGTTGGTTTAAAATCAAGCTCTGGTTGAACAGTTTGATTTGTGTGTGTGCGTGTGTGTGTGTGTGTGTGTGTGTGTGTGTGTGTGTGTGTGGGGGTGGGTGTGTGTGTGGGGTGCCTCTGCCCTTGTGTTTGTGTGCATCTCACTACACATGGCCGTGTTTATTTGTCCATTTCTAAGTGTGTGTGTATGACTGACAGCCTTTACATTCAAGTGTGCACGTGGACACACAGGTGCATCTGTGTGTGTGTGCACGTGCGCGCGCGTGTGTGTGTGCGTGTCACCCTGAGGTGTGTCTGTATCTTTTGGATGTGTGTGAGTTAGGTTTAGCATTATTTGGGAGGATTCAGTCAGGCTCGGAGCCAGCCCAGCTGCCTCAGAGGAACAGAGGGCATCTGTTCAGCCTCCACACCGGTCGCTCTGTTCTTAAACGCTTCTCAGAAAGCAGCATCCACATATAAACCCCTAACTGAGGTTAAAGGGCTAATCGCTATGATTTTCACCATCCTGTGGCTCAGAATGGAAATCATAATATATCTGCTAGGTTTTGGGTTGTTTTTTTTTCAATGCCACTGACTTTATGATTACTTTATGTATGCTGGAGATTTCTGGCTTTGCGTACTTGGATTGAAGACTGTGCTTTGAACACAAAGCCCCCAATCACTGGAATGTCAACAATCACTGAAGTTGTGGTGAGCTGTAACTGAGGCCAGTGGAATTTACACATTACTTTATGCACATTTAGCTTAAAAACATAGAGATGTTGTAGCATCTGAGACATCACCAGTATGTGATTTCTAGATTTGAGTCTACCTGTGCCGGCTGCAGTAGCTAGAAAATCCAAATGAGCCTATAGAGGCTGTAATGTTATTGGCAGGTGTGCAATTCAAGTGCCTGTTTGTGTGAAGCATTGCAGGTAATTAACAACTTTGGTCATTAAGACTCTTAAGTGTGTGGACGTTTTTCCGAGAAAACTGGGACACTTCTCATAAAATGAGTCATCTCTTTGCTCAAATGACTAAATAGCATGAGCGAAGGGATTTAGTTTGCCTCTGTGTTAACATACCTGTTGAGACATCTATACCTAGATGGAATATAGTTATTGATGTTCAAATCATTAGAAAAAATTACATTTAAGTATTGAAAAAATTCAAACTTTCCAAAATGTCCTAGTTCCTCAGGATTGACTATGTTGTGGACAAGTATTTTTAATTTTAAGGTCTTCCCCAATTAACAGTGTTTGTGGTACTTGACGCATTGAAAACCACTGTAAGAAATCCTATGCACCCCTTTGTACTGGGTGAGATGTCCCTGCAGCACATAATGTGTCTCTGGAACATGGACAAGTAAAAAACAAATTATATGCACAACTAGACACTAGGAGCGAGGGACAGTGTGTTTTCTTTGAGTGTGATTTGGGTGAACCAAAATTTTTAAATCTCATTCAATTATTTTCAAAGTGTCCACAGCACACTCATTAGAGGAAGTGAACATTCAAAACATTGTTAACTGACTGTTATTTACTTTGTACTGAAAGGGAAAGTGGAACAGTTTGAATATGGTTTCTACTGGAACTTGGAGTCAGGATGACCATCAGTAGTTCTGTAGTCTTAAGGAAGAGTTTGACATTTGGCTTATGTGCTCTGGTTGGGCCGATAGAATATGCCATCGTCACATGCCTTTATATGACCTTCATTCATTTTTAATCAGTTTAATCAGTGACCAGTGAATGTGGTGTAAAGATCACAATGGAAATTTCCCCATCTTCTGGGGTTTAAACTGGTCCCATGAGCAGCAGTTCTTCACCTAGATACTTAATGAACACACAAAACCTCGACACAGACAGAGAAGCTAACCAGTGTCAGCTGTCTTCCAGCTGTGTGTGTGTGTGTGTGTGTGTGTGTGTGTGTGTGTGTGTGTGTGTCATTGCTTGATATCACCTCCCATAAAGAAAATCACTAAAACACATCTAGGGGCACAACACTGCATATTGATTGAACAGAGCAGCACTGAAGTTTGTGCGATCCTTTATATAGTAAATAACCTCTCAGCCAGTGCCACTGCTGCCATAGCTCCCTGTCAGTGGACAGAAAACAGTCTCCCCTGTATTTTCTTCTGCATTTGCTTATTTATTTGCTGATTTTCCTTATTTTGTCTGGCCATTAGGTATCTGTCTGTCAAGGATAGCAAGAGAAATTTGAGTGCAGGTCAAAGGAAGAGGAGAAAACTGAAAGAGGGGACAGCTGCTGGGGAAGGGATAGAGGAGAAAGGATTGAAGTGGAGAACAGAGAGGTAGTTTTAAGAGGGCGGCAGGAGTGGAAGCGCTCTGTGAACAAACAAGCGAGTCTTTGAAGGCCTTGGCATTTGACAGCAGGATGTGAGATGCGAGGGGAAAAGTTAATTTGCTTTTTGCAATGGAGATAAAGTAGTCTGAAAGAACTCTTGTACCTTTTCTGAGCATCCATCAGTCTGGAGCTTTTATCAGTCAGACCAAACATCAGCAAACTCTTCTTTAAAATGAGTCCTGTTGACATATTTCTGATTGTGGTGGGGAAAGATTCCCCAAGTGCAGGTTAAAGTGGGGTGGTGTTGAATGCAGCCTTGACTTAACTCCTCCCCTGGCCAACCTCCTTTTTAGGCTTAGGCTATATAAGACACCTGTGTTCCCTTTCTCTCTCTCTGCTTCCTGATCTGTCTCTGCTGTGGTTGGTGTTTATGGCCCAGGAACCACCCCCCCCACCCCTCAAATGGTGGGCGTGACACAGGTGTTACCCAGTCAGCTGTGACAAGTTAAAAAGGCATCGTTTCTGTTGAAAAAAAAAAAGTTTTTGTACGTTTGTTGTTCTGTTTGTTGTTCTGCGTCTGTATGTAAGCCCTTAGGGCCCTGTTTCAGAAAGCAGGATTAGTGAAAACTCTGAGTATGTTGAGCTAATATCAAAGCACATTTCGGAACGCATATATATGCAGAAGTTTACGTCTTTAGAAACATAAAAATCACTCTTAAATAGCCTATTAGTTTGTTACCAAAACATGATCTTGAACATGACCACTTTTATGATCAATTTATCAATGATGTATGGACATCATAGATTTATCCAGCACAGAAAAAAACTCTAGGAGGCTACACTATCCATCTTTATAACACTGACTCTGTGGACATTAAGGCAGCTGTCAGGTTGGCAACAGTTGAACAGTTACACTTACCGGGGGCTACATTACTGCAGTAATCACTGTTATTTAAACAGTGATAACTAATCTGTAGGAAGCTGTAACTGATCAATGAACAATCATCTGTCATATTGTGATTTGTCGCACCAGTGGAAGATTTCTATAATAGTTATTATATTGGTGATGATGTGAATATTTCTGAGTGAGGGTGATTTTGGTGCAGCTGAAACAAATAGCCTAAATATAGCCTGGATTAAAAGAGAGTTTTTCATTGTCTTAATGGGTTTTGACAGCATGTCATTAAATACAAAACGAGCAAGATTTTTTTTTTTTTATGTAAAAAAAAGCAGTTTGAACCTACAGACACAAATACGAAAAACAAAAAAATTATATATATAATTATAATTAATAGCCTACTGGGTGGGACTGTGGCTTTACGATCACAGATCTATGGGCTATAGGAGAATTCCAGCATTTTATCATTCATTAGGGAAATTCCAGTCTGGTAAATGATGAATGAGCTTCGCTAAAAAAAATTTAATTTTGTTAACGTGTTTACTCTTTCGTCCACTCCTGCTTTCAACATCAATAGCCTATCATGGTCCGTGTAGGCACGCATTTATATTTATTCCACCCGTTGCCATGGTGAATCGTAGTATCAGAGCTCCATTGATGGCTTTTTTTCATCCTCACGCACACACTTCCATCAGGCTCAACCTACTCAGAGTTGATTGAAATAATTATGATCGGCTGTTGTGGAACTAAGATGGAGTTTCACATCTCAGGGATAAGCTCAGAATTTGTTTAGCCAGCTTTCTGAAGCAGGGCCCAGTTCCGTTTGTTGCGTCCACATCATATGTCGAGTGCTCCCTGCCTGTCTTTGTGTTCAGCCCATTTTGGATTCTGCCTTTTGGTGTTGGCTCTCAGTCTGTATTTGAACTCCTCTTCATTGCATGTAAGCCTGAGTATTTAAGTTAAATTCTCTCACATCATCTCTGGCTCAAGTGTCTGCATCTGGGTCCTACTCTCTGTGCAATAAAAAAAACACACCTACCTAGTCCCTCAAGCTAGTTTTGCATCAATGTCTGATATACTGTAACAAATGACGACATTGCCGCAACTGCAGTCAGTTATCAAGGCATGATGGTGCTCAGCGAACTGAGCTATACTCCATTTGAACACAGCTGAACAGGATGAAAGTCAAGAGCATTATAGTCACGCACCCCCATGGGTGCCACTCATGACAACACAGCTGTTTCACTCTTAAGTGGCTGTCCCTAGGGAAACTTTTGCAGCTACGCTGTGAGATCTCAGAGTTTGAGGGATGTGAAGCCAGACATTGCTAAACTCAGTTCAGACCCAAAGTGGCTGACTTATTCAACTCACTCAACCTGTCGACCCAAGGAGGATACACATTTGTCCTGGAAGTGAAGTCAGAGACTGCATTTATGAAAAAGAAA